TAAAATGCCAAAAGCTAAATTACAATTTCTCCCCACAAAAACAATATTAATTCAAACCATAATTAGTAGCATTACCTAACGAATCATATGTGGGAGTAACTCTTGTTACTTTCCTCCTTTAGCCTATATATTCTGCTAGAGACTATATGCTTTATCGATTATCGATATCTACTTTTACATCGGATTAGAGATGGTACGATGGTCTAACCCGATTAAATCGAATTATTTTCCTTATAAGTCGATATTATTTTGGTTTGGATCCAATCTTATTCTAGCAGAATCGAATTTACTTAATACTTGTTTTCTTTCTTTAAATCAACTAGACCAAGCTCTCGCAGAGCTAGGCCAAGTTGAAATGTGGGCTTTTGCCCACATAATATCTCTAAACCGGTATGAACTCATTGATTAACGCTTTTTCAAAACTATATGTAGGGCATGGGCAACGAAATAAAATACAAGGACCGGATCATCATCAGTGATGTGTGTCCCCACTCAAAACATAGAGAGAAAGCTCTTTAGATATTATAACCTGAGTGGATGTAAATGTAAGCTGAAAGATCAATTTATGAGCTGTGTTACTTTTTTCGTACTAGTGTTGTGGTCGAGAGGACCAAACCAAAAGGGATTGGGAGTAAGAAATATCTAACAGAGAGCATAGTGTGTTTATTAATATTGGACCACATTATGTGTTGGACCATTGAAGAATTTTAGTGGTGTGGTAAAATACAACAAGTACCTGGCTGATGTCACATGGATTGAGCTTTGAATTTTAAGCTGTTTTATGATTCAGGGTGCAATATTGTCCTACAAACACATAACCCGACAAAATGGCAAAATACAAAAGCAAGAAGAAGAAAAATCGATCAAAGGACGCCGAGGCAAACTCGTTTTTATAGTTTAGGTGTATGAACAGAATGTTTATTTTGAGAGCCAGTAGATGATTAGAAACAACGTACAAGCAGCAATGACAGCAGAGAGGATAAGTGTGTCCCGAGAACGTCTCCTTTTTATTGAACCTATAAACGGAGAAGGGCGATTTGCGTAAGGATAGATACAAAGGTTAATTTAGATCAGTGAGAATATCATATAGAGAGGTTGAACAGAGATACCAAGTAAGCCACGAATCACGGGGAATTTGTCTCCGAGATTTTTTACTTTCCCTTGAACATCTGAAAACAGAGATCGTTGAGAGCCAAGAACTGCTCTTGTCGCTTGAGCTTGACCAATTACGTCATCAATCTGCAGCCAAATGATTATACAACTATTACTAAATTCTTAAGTTGTAACATCATCATTTAGATAATTACATTAGAAAGAGAGCTATTAACAGAATATAACACTCAGATGATAAAAGCCATGATTGCAGAGAGTATCTTACATGGTTTATACTTCCATGGATTGAAGCTCTCTCCCGCAACACTTGCACTCCCGGTGACATACTACCAGAAGCCTGCAGAAGGAAAAAAACAGAACCCAACTTCCCATCAAAATGTGAGCAATAGTAGAATTCTAAGAAGACTTATTTTCTAAACGAAGAGGCTCTAGGATTTTTTACCTTATATTCACTTATGTCATCCCTAACCGAACTCAAAAGCTCAGCATGTTCTCTCATCGAGTTTATATTTCCTTTTATTCTTCGAAACTCCTATAAATTTACATGAAAGTACATTATATGAGAGAATATAGGTCGGTAAAACGTATAACTTCCTCTTACTACAGAAACATAAGTATCACCAACCAAAAGCCACACTAGTGTAAACTTTACACTGTAAAGGCTTTTGCCCTTTTACCAAAACATTGGACTGCAATTACTCATCTTGTATCCCTAAATCACTGATGCATGATCCTGAAACAGGGGATTGCAGTATCATGTTTTCCCTGTGACACTGTGTTTTATGCAAAGGCATCTATTAATTTATCTACCTTAAGCATTAAACTACAAAGGTATTGAGCTGAAGATTGTTGCATCAGTACCATTGAGATCAAAAATTTCAAAGTTAGAAAGTTTGAGATCCCCGATATATTACAAATTTGTAATTACTCCAAAATGTCACTCAAACTTGGAAAAAGAAACCAAGATTTAGGTATATGAACACAAGGAAAAACTAGGAATAAGTTAAAACAAGAAAGAAAACCTGGGTATATTCATGAAGTATATCCCTGTGTCTTGCTAGCTTCTGCGTTACTGATGTTGTGGGTGCAGCAGATGCAGCACATCTACTCATAGAATCATTAATGTCCAACAATTTCTCAAGTGAAGACTGGATTTCCATCTCCATGGACTTCCATGATCTTCCTGATCCAACTGTTGGAGATCCCGCATCGACATACCCTGAGACCAAAACATATAAAGCTGGTAAAGAAAGCAACCTGAAACTTTCCATGTAAAGAACTTTCTAATGGTTCATCACAATATAATACAATACATGGTTCTTGAAAGCTGAAAGCTAATGCAAAACAGTAAGCTTTAAACACACAAAATTCCTCCTACCAGAATCAATTACCCATTGAAAAAGCACAACAAATCTGAGTATACTCCACCAAAATGTTGACACAATACTGGAAACGTACCACACATGAATCAAGCATTGAGGGAACTAGAACAGAGACTGAGAGACAAATATCAATCAAAATTCAATCCATCGATAACCAATTCCTCGATCCGTATCACATACTACAAAACACACATAGATCATGATCAAGCGGAAACGAAAGAAGAAACGAACCTCCTTGTGTAAACCTAGCGCCGAGCTTAGCGTAAGAAGAGAGCTTAACGTCGAGATCGCCTTCGATTTTACGAGCTTCTCTACGAAGTTCCTCCCAACCCGATTCCTGCAGATCTAAACTCGATTCTGTCATTTCCGATCTTCACCAATCCAGATCAGTAACCTTCTCCGTTCATAGATAACTCTCCAGCTCCGCCGTGAACCAATGTCGGAGCTCCACCGTACAGTAACCACAGCGAACGATCTGATTCTAACTGAAACTGATAGAACCAATTTAGCAGCGACGAGAAGACGATGGGATCGATCTTCCCTCCTCCGCTTCTTCGGGCCAATAATATGGGCCAGTTAAAAATTGGGCTTTATTAGGCCCATTTCATCGCAAAAGACAAAGATTGGACACGAGTCAAGTGGGCCTTGCCTAAGTTTGATTTGAAGCCTGGTGAGTGAAGAACTGTACGGAAACACGACGTTGATGAGTTTTGAGACTCAAGGGGAAAGATTCCATACAATAGAAGTTTTTGTTTCGACTTCCAAATATCGAAAGGACCAAAAACAAATTGGTTTTTGTGAATTAATCATAATTTTCTTTTACTATAGATTCGAACTCATCATAACCAAATGTAATGTGCGGTTTTAACATTTTCCCATTTCGCATGAGTTTTAAAAAAAAATCATTGTTTGTTTAAAATATTGTTTCTATGGGCAAAAGCAAAACTATTTGCTCATGAAAGAAGGAATATTTTCTCCAGGTCATATTATTATAGGTGATGAAAATTTAGGATTGGAAGAATATTATTTACTCTCATAAAGATTGAATTACAATATACAAGCATATATATATAGGAATACCATTAAACCTAGTTTCCTAACTAACGTAATCACAATAAGATATATATAAATCTCTAATAATATTCATAATAATATTGTTGATGTTATGGATCTTCTAGATCTTTCTACACATATCAATTATGAACGTATAAACCTCTTTTAGCTAAGATTCGGAAATTTATATATGATTAAATATCTTTTTGACAAATCTTGTTGGGTTCAAAACACAAATTAGTTTTTAAGATATCACTCAAAAACTAGATCTATCTTTATTCGTTTTCTTTTAAAGTATCTTATCCTGATATGAATATAATATAATCAACCATTATTAACGTACACAAGTAACACAACTAGAGGACACACCGTACACATTTTGTTCTCGTATTATAATTTGTATTATATGTATATATACTTTTAACAAAAGCACAGAAAGGTAGACGATCACTAACCTTTTTAAAAAAACACAGTAGACAAATCACTAACATTTTAAAATGAAAATGGTAGGGTTTTGATATCGTGTGAGTGTTATCGAATAGAGTCAAAATATTGTCCCAAGTGGCCAGCACACGTGTGGTGGCATAATTGTCTTCATCTTCAAACATATAATATAACCATGCATGAAGCTCCGACAAAAACATTTTCAGATAAAAGAAGAAATTAATTGTTAGGTTTTTTTTTGTATGATAGCTTCTTTTTCATATTCATAATCAACCATAACCAATATTTGCGTAAATTATAGAACAACAGTTTACGGAAACTAATAAAATTAAACGAATTTTATATAATTTTTATCCTACAAGGTTAAATGAATGAATAAAATCTGATTTTTTTTGATGAGTTTTGTGCCGAAATCCACATCATTTCGTCGAAAAATATTTATCTCTCTTTCAAACATGATTCGAACGAAAAATAAGTTTAAAGACAACACAATTTTTAAACAATCCGAAATTTGCCACTAGTTAAAACTCAATTGGTTAATTGATTTCTTTTTATGTTTAGAAGAAAAGTGTAGTAGTAGGGTAACGGTTAATGGGGCGTGTCATATATTTAATGTAGATTCTTCGACTTTTTTGACTATTTAATAAACAAATTTTTTTTTGGCAGATTTAATCTAATCCAACGGTTAACAAGCTTAGTCTTCATCTAACCGTTCATTTATTTATACCCTCCACAAACTTCTTTTATTTCTCTATTTAAATTCCTCTAGCCTTTTCACTCACTCTTCTCTTGATCTCTTCCTCTTTATAACGTTTATGTAAGTCAAAATTATTATTTTCTCAAAAACATTTCTATTTCCGTTCACATAAGTCTTTCCCTTCAAGATTCTGAAAGTTTTTTTCCTCTCATAATCTGTTTTGTTTCTCTACAAAGAAAAATGTAAAACAGAGTGTT